CGGTTGCAATCGGTTGACATTAAATATTTCGGTTCGGTTACCCGACTAAGGAATTTTTTCTCGGTTCAAATCACTATGACACACTTTATTGCAAAGCCATAATAAAATTAACATAATGTAATCAGGTTAAATTACCAGAAATCTTAAAATTTTGCACAGTATAGAGGTTTAAACGTAATTTGATAATTGAGTGAAATTTTTTTTTGTTCGCTGGTTCGAGAAATTTTTCGTATAGTTTGCGATCATCATATCATCTACTCGGGAGAAAAAAAATCAAATTGCATTAAAATTTAGAATAGGCACATAAAACAGTACTAGAAAATGTTTTCCCGGCAACTCGCACGAAGAAATCAAAAACATGTCTTAATGTATCTATCGCGATATCTATATTCAAAATCTAATACGAATTTAGAAGTGATCATCAAATTCCTTTGCTACTAATCTTTTATTAAGGTCAGTGATTATCAATTCCCGGAAAAAAACAAAAACATAAAAAAAGAGAAAAAATATACTTATACTTTGAACGAAGTACATAAAAAGTAACCAAAGGTTCATATCACGTATCTTAACATCAAATTCGAGCAAGGAATTTATTTATACATATCAGAGTTTGAGTAGTATCTAAATTCGTTCGTATCTAAGACACCAAAACCAATAAGGAAAAAAATGATTCGACAAAATTATAAATCTCTAATTAGCTAATGGGCATTTAATTTAACATGAGCATTTATTACTAAATAACAATTAATTTAATGGCATTTACTCATAATTTCACGTGGGCATTTATTAAAGTAATGAATTAGCGTTGTGATTTATTAAATTATAATTAATTTAATGGCATTCTACTCGAATAATTCAATGTGGGCATTTGTTAAAGTAATAAATTAGCATTGAGATTTATTAATTTAATAGTATTTTCTCAAATAATTTAACGTGGGCATTTATTAAAGTAATAAATTGGCATTGAGATTTATTAAATAATTTAATGGAATAATTTAACGTGGCATTTGAGTTGGTGTAAAATAATTAAATAGTATATTTTTCAACAAAACATTTATTTAGCATTTAATTTAATGAGTAAATAATTTTATTTAATTTCTCGAGACATTTATTAACATTTAACGTACAATGAATGTAGTATATATTAATTAAATTTAACGTGGAATACTTAATTTAACAAGAAATTTTATCGAGACATTTATTAGCATTAATTTGATTTAACGTGGAATTATACTAATATAGTATTTATTAATTAATTTAACATAGTATTTGTTAATATTAAAATGCATTTTAAACTATATAATATTTATGGTTTACTAAATTTAAGAACTAATTTATTGTGTATCAAAGATAATATGTACATACTAGAATTGCATTGTGGCAATATACTAAGAATTATTAAAAAAAAAAAAAAGTGTCTGCAAATATAAAAAAAATCTAAGCGAAAAAAAGACCAAATTCTTAATTCTGATTTTTTGCTGAGTTGTGATTTATCTAAAAAAAAAAAAAAGTTTCAAAGAACCTTTATTGGTATTGTTACATGATTAGCTAATTTCTGTCAATCAGCTCGTGAGGTAAAAATTTGTTGACGCACCTGGGTACATAAAAGATTAAACTTTCAACTGGTTTTTATTTTTTTTGGAGGATAAATTCGGAGAGTTGTTTGAAAATGCTAGATAATCTTCTTGATAGGTGTAACCATGTTTTCGTCTCAGCCTTGCATGTTCGACTTTAAGTTCCGTACAGTAGTCTGTTAGCTTGCTCAATCGATGCTGTAAAATTAAATTGATAAGCACGATAAGATAAATAAATACATTAGCAAGGGGGTAAGTGAAAAACAAACCTCTAGAGTACGTAACATGGTATGAACCGCCTCATACGCAGGTAACTCATTCGCCGAGGCGGGTAATGAAACCTTGTCGATTATACCCGAAACGATATATTCCTGTGGTTCGAGCATCCATGGCGTATAGACTTAACTGTAGACCTGTGACATAAAACGCGTCTTAGCAAGATCTCTAAATTTACTCTAAAAATAAAACATTTAAACATTTACCGATCACTTGGCAACCGAACACTATAACTTTCATATAATTTGTCGGTGGTAAGCTAGGGAAAGTTTTCATCACTCTGTTAATCATATCTCTCATGCCGATCATCAACTTTAACTTGTCAGTCCAAATTTTCTTTGGACACCCCACCGGGAGCCCTCCGGAAACCTCACATATGAACCCTTCCAAAGCAGGACCGGTCGGTAATTCGATAATAATGTCGGTTTTTTGTCCGACACGAGCACGTTCATTGTTGGGGTCTTGGTTTTCCCTACGCCTTTCCCGGCTCGCAATCAATTGTTGTTCGGACCTGAAAATCCAAGAATAGAATGTTGCATATGAACATTTGATGACTAATATACAAGACAGTCGGGGATGGTAAATGACCTGAAATGACCTATACGTAGAAGGTCATTTAACATTTATTAACTAATAATCTAATACATTTTAACCAATCAAAATTGATTATTAGACAAAAATAATAAAATATGATTAATATCCGTAGCTACATACGTATAAAAGACAAAATATTATTAAATTAATCGATATTTACATATTAAATAAAGTTTTTCAGAAGAACAAATTACATATATATTGAAACTTTTATTTAATTTGAATATCTTTTTATTAAGTCATTTTTGTGTTTTACGTTTATATAAAAAAATTTAAAATTTTTTACATATAAATATAAAACACAAAAATAACTTTTAATAAAATGTTATTAAAATTATAGGAAATTTTCAAGATACATGCAATTTGTTCTTCTGAACAACTTTTATATGTAGCTACGATTATCGATCAATAAAATTACTTCATATGTGAATGACCCAAATGACCTAGGTTATTTAGCCAAATGACCAGGTCATTTACCATCCCTGCAAGACAGAAAGAAGACACCTTTTGAAATTACCAGTATTTTCGGAATTTGTCTTGAAATGGATCAAGACTCATGTTAAAAGCGGGGCTACAAATCGAATCATGAGCTCTCCTTCGTTTATGGGTAATTTAAAGTGTTCAAAATATGATTTCAATATTACGAGATGGGCACTCAATATAGGAAGCGTTTGTTGAATTTCTAACTTCTACTCAATAAACGTTGACAAAGAAATTAGCAGATTTTTGAATGACCTAGTTACTAGATCAAAAGCCATGGTTAAATGCACGTAAACTATCATTACCTCTATGTTATCAAAAAGTTCTATTTCAGATCGGTCGAGCTCTGTCATCTTCCACGCTACGTCTAATCGGAAATCGTTTAACAACTCACTCCATATTTTGATCAGCTTATTTTTCGTCGGGTTGTGCTGTCCAGTCAGATCAAGAATCCCCCAATATGGTGGACTTAAAAAAAAAAAAAAAAAAGAAAAAAAAAAGACGATATTCGTGAATTTCCATAATAAGTCTCACCCGCAAAGCTTTATATAAAAGCAATACTTACTGAACCTCGGGATTCTTTTTTGGTAAGGAATTACGCAGGGAACCAAAAACTTTTACAAGATCAATGCCATCAGTTTCGAAGGAGTCCCAACTATTAACTGCCGAAATTTCAGACTTTGGGCGTGGTGACGCAAGATCATCCTCTCCTCCGATGTAGTTTAAATCCACCCTATCAACTAATTTATCGAAATACTCAGGATCTTCAATATAATTATGATGGTATGTTTCTTGTTCTTTTGAAGGACTTGACGGAACGGATATTTCATCTTCATAATCCAAATTGTTATTTTCATGAGTGATATCACGGGAGAAAGAGAAAAATTCATTGATTTTTTCTGCCCGTAATTGTCCTAAAGTATTAAAAAATACATCGAACATGAGTTATGATCATATTAGGATTCTCAGTCAGAAGACAAAATCATAAACTTACCGCCTTATTTCGTGACATATTACTAGACGGTCCAGCATTGAATGTTCCGCCGTTTACTGTTCCGATTCCTAGAGTACTATCCGTAAACGTTGTGTGATGTAGGTTTACCGTGGTTCCAGCAGTTTCTTTGCTTTTTTGAGCTTTTTGAGATAGCCAATCTCGTGCTATCTGGCGATCAGGTCGGGAACCCTAGGATAGGAGAACCTGGAAATTAGTAGCATCCTTGACTTAACCTTGTAATTTCTCTAATTCTTTTCACCCCACCAGATCATCTTAGAGACTTGAACGTATGACAAACTTAGAGATTGCCCACGCTCCAGTGGGACCAGTACTAGGTCATCTTAGAGACTTGAACATCAGACAAACTTAGAGATCATCTGTGCCCCAGCACTGGTTTCGTAACTCATCTTAGAGACTTGAATGACGCAGAACTTAGAGATCCCCGCCACGTTACCAATTTCTTATTAATATTTTTAGCTATAAAAAATTCTTGAACTTGCCTGTTTATAATGATTATACAATTCTTGCGCCTTTCTACTCCTACTTCCGTCATCATTACTAATTATACTCTCGAGAGAAGTAAGGTAACGTCCGATCTTCTCATTGAAAAGTAAATTTGCGTCGCATTCCTCAAGAAACTCTGTGATAGCCCATTCAGAGGACCTACGATCAAAATATTCGTGTACCCATTTGCTCGGCTTTTCCATTATAGTTTTTGTTTTGTCAAAGGGAAGAACTTGAAGAACTTACTACTCAGAACCGAAACGATATAAATATTGTGAAACCCGTTATATGGGTCATGGACTAGGAAAACCCCCCTACGAAGGGTAGTTTCCATTTTGAGAAAACAGTGATTGAATGTTTGTGTTACCTAAATTTTTCCCCCTGAATTTTTGATTTATTTTTAGACGCCCAATCATGTGATACAAATTTTATTATTATTTGATCACGTGTTTATCGTTCATTAACCTTGTCTTTAGTAATAAGATTTTTATTTACAACAATGTTATTAAATGAAAATAAAGAAAATAATTTTTTTTCATCACATATTTCTTTAGAAGAATTAGATTTAAATGATTATGAAGACAATGAGTTAGTACAAGAAGTTGTCCAAGATTTATGGAAATTTTTACAATCAAAAAACTGTGAATGCCGAATGAGAAAAACCTATCAATGTTATGACAAAGTTGGATTTAAACAATTTTTTGAACGACATATGCAATTTCATAGTTTAGATAAAAAAGAATTAGATTTAGTTTTGATGGGTCAGCTTATGGCATTTGAATATAATCAAGCAAATGAAAAACATAATTTTAATTATCAATTTAATAATGATATTAAACTTTGTAAAAATACCTATCTCAAGTTAATTGGAGTTGGAAGTGATTATCTTGCCCAAGTTAAAAAGAATTTGATAACTAAAGGATTAGTTGAACGATTACATGGCAATACAAAATGAATTCCTATTCTAAAAAATCGTACAAAAATTGATCAAACTGTATCAAATTTAGTTTCAATATTTATTAGTAATTATGCTAATATTCATAGATATCCTTCTCCAGGTCGACATTTACAAAATGATACACAAACAATAATTTACTTACCAACTGAGAAAGATTATACTAAAGTATATACTAATTTTATTAAATGTCTTAATATTTTTCCTGAAAAACCATTCGATAAAATTAGCTATAAAAGTTTTGTTCGTATTTGGAAAGAGTTATTACTGCATATAAAATTTATGACGCTTGGTACAGATTTATGTGAAACATGTGAAATGTTAAAGGCTGAAATTCGAAGTACAAATTATGATGAAAAAAAAGAATTAATTCAAAAAAGGTTAGATGGTCATAAACAAAAAGCAGAAATAGAACAGGAATATTATCATAACAACATTTTAACAAGTACAATATTACCTGATACAGCACATATATGTTATGATTGGGCACAAAATATTCCTGTGCCTTATTCTCCTCAACAAATTGGTACAACATATTTTAAATCAGCGCTTCAGGCTCATATTTTTGGTATTTGTAATACTGGGCAAAATCTATCTCAACAATTAAATTATGTAATTGCTGAAAATGAATTTCCCCAAGGAACAGATAAAGAAGCAAATACGACAATTAGTCTTGTTTATAATGGATTGCAACGATTTTATAATCATGAAAAACATTTAAAAGTAACCTGTGATAATTGCTCAGCGCAGAATAAAAATAATCTCTCATTATACTTTTGGTGCTGGCTTACGTTAGTTGGAATATATGATATGATTGAGGTAAATTTTATGGTAACCGGACATACAAAATTTATATGCGATGGATACTTTGGTAATATTAAAACACTTTTTCGAAAAACAATTATTAACACAGTAGATAATGTTCAAAAAGTAATTGATAAGTCAACAAAAAATGGTGCCAACAAAGGAATATGCTACAATAATAGTGAAGGATAGGCTTATTACAATTTTTCTAAATTTTTAAAACCACATTTTAAAGAACTACTCGGAATTTTAAAATATAATCATTTTTTATTTACTTCTAAACATCCAGGAAAGGTATTATGTCAAACAGAAGCACACGGAACCTATAGTACATTTAATATACTAAAAAATAAATTCGATGTTAATGAAGCTCTTGATAAAATTTCATTAAAAACTTTATCAAAGGAACGTCAGGAATATCTTTACTATGAAATAAGGAAATATGTAGATATAAAATTTCAAGATATAACTTGTCCAAAGCCATCGTGGATTCAATAAATAAATTTTTAAAAAGTTAATTTTTAAAAAGTTAGTAAGTGTTTAATTAATTATTGTAATTTACCAAAAATGATTAAAATTATCTAAGTTTAAAATTTGCGACTTCTTTTTTCATTGAAACTCGTTATTGTTTAGACTTTTTAATGTATTTTTTGTTCCTGAAAAGTGGCCGAATATACCTCCTTCACTAGTACGTCTGACAGCTATGAATATTCAAAATTTTTTTATATTATATTTTTTTAAATAAGTTTCTGAATATTCAAACGTTTATGTCACATAAAAAACATTTAACAATGGAGCAATAACAAATTATTCTTACGCATATATTATGTATTATGTATCGTTCAAATTTTTTTTTTTTTTTTAGCGAAAAAGCTTTATATATCAATGATTTAAGGTTTGTCACTTTTGATTGGATAATCTTCGATCATCAATCTATTTTTAGAAAATTGGATTTTTCGAAGGATTATTTTTTTATAATTGAAAAATCTCGATAATTTATTAATTAAATATGGAACAAAATATGTTCTACATATTAACAAGAACCAATACTTCAATTTGAATCAAAAATCTCAAAATTTTTAAAAAAATGCCGGAGGGGGGTTTTCCTAGTCCATGACCCATATATGTAGTGTTATATGTGACGATACATTTAGCGATTGACCAATCAGAATGAAAGCCCGCTATGCTTCAGGGACCCGGAAAAATATCGCAAAAATATCGATTTATATTGATTTTCCCTTTTCTGCGCCTTTTGATATAACGTGACTTCTGCTGCATGCAGAATTTTGGGTCTGCTGCCGCAGAAAATGAGGAGCCCTAATCCCGGCCAAAATTACACTTGTTTTGCCCAAATTTAGTATGTTACACTTCACCGTTCAAGATATAACTTGATAATCTTACTGTTACCATCAATCTCACTATCACTTAAAAAAATTTTTTTTACGATGTAAATATTCTAGATTGGCTAATTTCTCAAAAGAATTTCCTGGAAACCACCATTCACCTCACCTCAACATGCTATTAATGCCTTTAAAAAAACTATTCAAGAGTGAACATGAGAAGAAAACGTTTATAATCAGTAAATTACAGGTTACATTTTTTAAATTATTTTGAATCGTTTCTACATAGAAGATGATGAACTTTATCTTTTGCCAACCGAACTGTCCTTTTTGTGTATGGTCCAGAGTCT